TCTCCTGCACTTTCCCAGCCCGACTACTTGTGTTGGCGGGGCACCTCAGACGTTTATCTGATAATTGAGTTATTAAAAGATTTGGTTTCCTCGGGATCATAAATCAATAAACAGGAGGATTAACACGGCAGCTTTGCTTTTTAACTCAAGGGAAAAGTTTGAGGAGAGACTGTGAAAAGTTTGTTTTCAAACCAAACAGGTGGGTTGCTGTAAATTTTATTTCATTCTTAGTCTCACTTTTTTTTTTTTGACTAACAATTCTCTGTGTTCCTTTGGAAAGATCTTTGTTTTCGTAAGCTCCCTGACTTTTTTTTTTCCTGGTTGTTATTCACACAAGGTGTGAAATAAACAATAAGCCAATTTTATGGGAATCCTTTTACAACCCGATGATTTCTTTAAAATCGGGTCGTGTCTTGTCCCACCTAATAGAAATTCTCTGTGAGAAGCTGTTTCAAGTCCCTTTGCATCCCAGACCACCCTCCCCCAAAATCCCCAAATTTCCATTTGGGGCTGGGAGGGAGGATGGTTTTAAGACCTTTAGCTGTGCCCAAAGGGCTTATTCCCTTCCCCTGCTCATCTCTTTCTGACCGGTTTATCACGCAGACCTGTTCGGCTCTGTTTTAATACGTTTCTCGGAGAATTTGGTGCTCGTTTCGGTTGCCGTAAGCATTGCCAGATCAATCCGGCCAAACTCCCCCTCCCCTCCGGCTTCCCTGTGTGAGAGAGACCGTAGGCTTTTTACAAATAGTATATTTTCTTATACAAAGGGAAAAAGTGAAAGAAAATATCCCCAAACGCACTGGCAAACGCCTGAACATTTCAAGAGAGACGAAACATTGTGTGCCAGCGAGAAATAAAGGAAAAAAAAACCAAACCAAACAAATGCAAAGCTCTGAAAAAGCGAATGAGAAACTGGAAAGATGAAAGAAAAAAAAAAATTCTCCTTTTATGCCCCAAACTATCCCTTTCACCTCCTCTTCTTGAAAAATCTGACCATGCAGTGAGAAATATCAGTTTATCGACTCTTCCTGAGAAGAAATGCGGAGAGGCATTCAGTATTGAGTTTGTATATATTTATTTATGCTTAATTTAACGGGAATGTGTAAATATGGCGAGCAAGTAGTTTTTGGGTTATTTATCTGTGAATCTATACCTCTGTGAATGGGTGGGGGAATTTAAAAACAAAAAGTAAAAAAAAAAAACAAAC